GTAAGGGTTGAGACCCGCTGAGATGTGTAAGGCGTGTAGAGTTTACATAGAGTGCAGGGAGAGGAGGAACAGCACCAAGATTTTACACGAAGATCATAAAAATAACAGGCTGAAAACATACAGTTGAGGCTTTGGATTTCTGCTCGAGAAGGACAGAGCTGAAAGGGAGCATCATTCCTGTGCTTATGCCAAGTCAAAGGTCACACAAAGTTCAAGTTCATAGCCTCTTATCCCCTGAACAACCGACAGAGAACTGACTAGCCCAATTTAAGAAGTATCACCTGCAGGCCAGTAAGGTGCAAGCACCTGCTCACCCAGGCAAATGCACCTGCAAGCATCAAGAAACAGTCAGCAAAGGAATACCAAGGGAAGTGCTGGAAGAGCATGGAGACAGACCGCTCTGAGGCACAAACCCAAAGGAGACCCAGGTCCACAGTGGAACAGCCGTTGAGACAAGGCTAACCCTAAACATAAGGCACCCATAGAGGACTATGAAGTGTTGTGCATAGAAATGCGTCAGACCATATTCAACCGTGGGCTAGACTTCCTAAGACCTCACACTGAACACAAAGCAGCAATAGGAAGGCTCCCCCTTTCCAGGCAGGGCACTTTATCTCCTTCTCTAATGTCCTATCAAAATATCCAGTTCTCAACAACAACAACAAAATGCAGGGTATATGAACAGGAAAGAAAAAAAAAAAACCTGCAGTGAAAACCATAAAACAATAAATACAAGTGAAACAGATGTCATAAAAACATTGAAGATATCAGGGAGAGAATTAAAAACAATCATATTTATTTCTAAAATACTCTAGTGGAATGAGCAGACAACAAGATCATTTATCCATTTGGGGGAAAATAGGTTATTTTAACATAGAACAAACAAACAAAAAGACTTCAATGTAAACACTCTATAGGCCAAACTCAGAAACCAGTGAAAATGCTCTCAACAAGGATTATCTCAGAGTTCACACAGCCAAGTTAAAAAAAAAAAAAAAAAAAAAAACCTTGAAAGGAGGTAAATACCGAAAATTACCGAAACTAAAGCAGAACAGTAAGCAATGGACAAAGAAAACAGACCATAGTGCCCAAGATGAAAAGCTATGCCAAAAACTGTAAGCTAATTATAACTGAAATTACAGGAGGGGAAGAAATAGACAGAGAATAGAGAAAAACAAAAACAAAAACAGCTGCTATGAATGAAAGCTACAAACCAACAAATTCAAGAAGTTTAAGAAAGCCCGCGTAGGTAACTAGCAAAGGTATGCCTCCATACAACAAGATTGAGAACCCCCCCTTACCCCAGTCAAAAACCTGAAAGCCACACCCATTTCACACCTCATTCAAAGCTTAACTCAAGCTTAATCATAGACCTAAATGAAAACACAAGTGTATGAAATTTATAAAACAAAACACCTTAAGTTCTTAGTAAAGAATTTGCTACGTTCTTAGTAAAAATTTTCCTATCAAATAAGAATGGTTCTTTATAATACCGAAAAGGTTGCAATCGTCTAAATCATCAAAGTTTATTTTTCTCACCGTTCAAATAATGAGCCCTGAGCATAAATGAGCACATTTGTAATGTAGCCATACTTCCTCTTTCTCTACCACCCAAACTAAACAATTCTGGAGCAAAATGATGAAAGAAATGAGCCTGATTTCCTTTTGCTCATATTTCTTCACTCATTTCTCATCACCTGGTACTATGTTTTGCAAGTCACTGTAGAACAAGGTATAACAAAGAAAGAAAACAATAAATTCTGTTTAGAAAAAAAAAGGGGGGGGGTAGGGATAGGGGTTGCAGAGATGAGTCAGTGAGGAAAGTGCTTGCCACTCAAACATGAGGGCCTGAGTTCAACTCCAAGAACCCACAGAAAACCGCCAGCTGCAGTGCACACTTGCAATCCCAGTGTTGGGGAGGTGGAGGCAGGCAGATCCCTAGGGCCTACTGCCTGGCCAAATGGGCAAGACCCAGGCCAGCAAGGGGCCCTGTCAAACAAACAAGATGGAACTGTGTCTCACAAATGTAGTGTGGTTCCTGAGGTTGTCCTATGATAGGCAGGCACACATACACACAGTCTACACGCATGCATAAAAACACATATACACATTAAAAGAAAAAGAAAATGCTCCAAGTACTTTGATATTTAGCCCACCTCTAGGCAAACCTTTGTCCTTTTTTGCTAGACTTACTCAAACCACTGTTCTCTGCAGCAAATAAGAGAGAAAACGTCCAGGGTTGTGAGCAGGTGTTCCAGTTACACTCCAACCTGATTGACTCCTTTCCCATTACCTCACTGCTCAGCATTTATGTTATCGAAAATATGCCTCCTTCCTGGGGACTGTAAGCTCCATGAGAGTGACTTTCTCATTTCTAAGGATTCTGGACTTCCCACACTCGAAACAGCGTGTTGCACACACTAGGTGCTTAGGATCTCCCACACTATAAACAGTGTGTGGCACACAGTAGGTGTTTAGGGATCCTTTATGGAACGAGTACTGGCTTGAATCATTATCGCTTCCCTCCACTTCTGCAAGGGTGATCCTGACAAAAATAACTAAATGAGCTGGCCCTCCCCACCTACTTTCTCCTGGATTAGGGAGAACTCATTCTTACAGCCTCCGGACTAACTAGATACTGAGGAGAGAGGATTATGGGAAGTTGCATGCCAGGTTCTTCAACTGAACACCAAATGTCCACTGATGGCCACCATATCCAGTAGGAGCAATGGGCATCAGTCTCCTAGCACTCCAGTGAAAACGGACAAAAAAAAAAAAAGAAAAGAAAAGAAAAGAAAAAACTCAAAGCCGCACCATCACTAAGGGTCAGCCACTGAGTTAGTATCAGGAAGCCTCCTGATCTCCCACCAGCTACAGGCTCACCAAGTCCTGGCCTGTTAGTTTGAAGGCAGGTAACAATGCTGAAACCGAGCCATGGCTCTGAGCAAGGGAGTGCTCTCAGGAGGACTGAGGAGGCCCTGGGCTAGGGTGGATCGCTAGGGGAAGACCACAGTCATCTGTGAGATTTCAACTACACACAGCCCCTCCTGGAACTCCTCCAACAAACTGAGCCATTACCACTCACTAAATGACAATGATACATAGAAAACTGTCACTCATTCTAAGGGGCATGTGGAGAGAGAGCTTAAAGAGCCTTTTCCGGGTTTCCTGTGTGAATTGTCTGACAAATGGGATCATGACTCTTAATGACACCACAGTGGGGTCCAACACTCCTGCTCTGCCGCACTCAAGGCCTTTCCTCTCCGCCAGCCACGCCATATATTTTTCTAATGAACTCTGGATTTGCAGGAGGTATGACTGAGTGCCCAGCCTTGCCTTGGTCCTTGCTTACAGACTTCTGATTGTGTTGGACACAGAGATCAGGGACAATGAGTGCCAGCCCCAGCCCCAGCCCCAGCCCCAGCCCCAGCCCCAGCCCCAGCTCAGAAGACTATCTGGCAAGGGCAATCACAGCCTCAGCTCTGCTGCTGAAGGTTGGTCTATGGGTAGGCTGCCCATTCCAGCCGATAGCACATGGCCGATGCCAAGAACTGTAAGCAAGTTTCAATTTTCTTATGTAAAGGAAGACTGAGATGTAAGCCCTGCCCTTTCTTCTGCTGTGGATGCTATACTGTCAAGGAAGGCCATCGGATCGCTGGTCCCCGTGGAGGTCAGGAGAAATTTCCAAAAGGCAACCTAGACCTGTAAACTCCCCAGCCCTCTCCCCGAGACATCCTGGGAAAAAGTAATGTGACCCAACTAAGGCTGCATGCATTGATCAAATGCGGAATGATTGAATGAATGAAGCAGTGAATGAAAGCTGGCAACACAAGCCTCGGCCCTGACAGGCTGGCACCTAGGCTGCCCACACTCTGAGCAAGGCCTCCTTGAGGTGTCCTCAAGGAAAAGCAGACACGATGCAGTACATTTTTGCCGCCCAGAATGGAAACGACTTCCTGAGAGCTGGCTTCCAAATCGCCTGTGCTTGAGTGAGACCGCCTCCTCTATCCCAGTAGCCGAGCTAACCCTCCATGGCGCTCATGGTGGCACCTGGGTAATACAGGCCTACTCCTGTTGTGGAAACCCACTCCCTGTCTGCTAACACGGCACAGACTTACTGTGGCCCGGTGCACCAGGAAGGTCTGCGAAGGATAGAATAGGAAGAGATCTCCGTATCTCTCTCTTTCCCTCCTGTCCTGTTTTCTCTTTCCCTCCCTCCCTTCTCCTTTACTCCCTTTATTTCCTTCAAAGCTAGGCCTGAAGATAAGGTGCTGGCTCTACTGACCGTTGCGGACTTTCCGCATCAGTCTGGTGGGGGAGGAACTAGGATGCCCCTGAGGGAAGAGCTTGTCCTGGGAGCTCGTAGGAGTGACAGACAAGATGTAGCTACACTGGAAGCTGCCACCCTCAGACTTTTCCATTGGAGGACCCAGCCAATTCCTACTTTGCATAAGGCAACTTTCAAGTCACGGAACCCTAACCCTAAGAAGAGAATTCTGACAGTTCACAATGGCAGGAACAGGCAAATTGCACCCTTCTACAAGAGGGACACGTGCACTGACCCTCTTGATCTTAGCAGCTAGGAACAGCCCCCACCCCACCCCCTCACCATCTCCTTTCAACTTATGGTACCTACAACCCTCCCAGGCGCACAGGCACTGTCAATGTCCCCCTCAGTCTTCTAAGATGCACGAACCTCTTGGAGACAAGAAGTTAACACCTGGGCGATAAACAGGGAGAAAAGCCCTCAAGCATCATGCTAGGTACCCCATGGGCATCAAATAACTTGAGGTGATTAATAACCCTATGACGATTATAACAACCATCTTTGAGAAAACAGGCTCAGAGAAGTTAAGGAGCTTTGCTCAAGGTCACAGAGCTGGAAAGTGAACTGAAATTTAGACACCACTCTGGACTACTCTTCCCACTTCATCATTTCAATCGGTCAGCACCCCTTCACCCCACAACACCGGAGGGCACACAGACCCGCGCAGACTTACTACGTGTGCCCCCTTGGAGAGAGGGCAGCCCCGCCGAGCCAGCTTTCCCGAAGCCTAGGTAACTAATCGAGGCGTTCGTTAGCGATCGAACAGCTAAAGTAAAGCGCCAGGCAGGGAAGGCGGCGGCCCCCGCGGGCCGGGCTAAAGCGCCGCAGAGGGAAGGGCGGGAGCCGGCTCGCACTTGGCGGTACGGGTCGGGGCCCTAGCCTCAGCCGTGGCCTCCAGCCGCGGAGTCACCGGGGAGAGCCGCTCGGCTCCCGCCCGTTCAGATGTGGGCAGCTGCGCTCCCCCGCGGCTCGGAGAGTCCCGGGCTCGGCCGGGCGTTTCGCAGTGCCCGCCGCAGCCGCGCGCCCCTCCCAGCCCCCTGCGCTGCGGGCCCCGCGCGCGGCCGCCCCGCACGGCCCGCCCGCCCGG